GTGACTCGAACCCCGGAACCCCGGGGTTACGAGGCAGCCACCTTATCCACTAAGCGTGTGGCGCTTGTGGGCCCCGAGGAGCGTCGAGCCGACTACATGCTGCGACTCGGCGCAGCCGTCCGTTAGGGGTCCTGACGGCCATACCGAATTTTACTCATCGGTTTTCAAGTAATTCACATCCCATTATTAAAGTTGTGTTTGACGACATGATTTTGACTTCAGAAATACAGAGATTACAAATTGTATTCAGACCAGGCGATAAAAAAATTTGGACTGCGGTCTGAATCTACAAGAAAGACCAAGGATTTCTGAAAACTAAGAGCATCAATAGACTATTCTAGTAGTGGCTGAGTGAAGAACAAGAAGAATCACAAAAGACGCTTTTTAGGGCATTTAAAGTGAATATATTTGATGAAATATGTTGCATTTACTGGAAAATATTTGAATTAACTTCTACCAAGCAAGGGGACTTAAGCATTTGAAGTAAAAGTGCAAAAAAGTACACTTTTGTGATTCTTCTTGTTCTTCACTCAGCCACGACTAGAATAGTCTATTGTGAATTTTCATCTCCTCGGTCTGAGAACGCATTTCAGACTGTGCACTCAAAAAATTTATTCTAAAAGTCTGAACTTTAAGACTTGAGTCTGAATTCCCATTTCGGAGTAGGAAGTCTGAAAAAAATAGTCTGAATTTTCAGACTTTTTTTAACAGTGAATATGCGATTTTTTAGATGGCTCGGGCATTTTCAGAAAGAAGATACCTTAAAGTATCCCCAAAAATTCAAAGAGTTTCGTTTTTTCCACCAGGGCTTGAACAAGAACGTTCATGGTACTTTACATAGTGAGAATGTCCAAATATCTGATTTTTTGGAGAGCCAAAACAAGTTTAAAAAAATTAGCTGGAAAATAGAGGTATTGGATTTGATTGTAAAATTTTATACCACAGACTCCTGAAGGAATACGTGTTCTTTGGGTTCAAGAGCCGTTGCAATCGGCAGCTTGGTTCCCGAGATAGAAGACATTCGTCATTTCTCAGCGTACGAAACTTAGGCCAAATGGGCGAAAGTCCGCCGTACTTTTACAAATGACGAAAGTCCAAACCCTACTTTGACAAAAGACGAATGTCCATGGTAATTCGACAAAATGGCGAAAGTCCAACTTTACTGTTCACAAAATAAATGAAAGGTTTCATCCCGGGGATGTTCCATGATCATGCCGTCACTGTTTTCATGGATATTCCTCTTGTTGGGAACGCACGATAGACTAATCCGTTTTTTAGCAGTTGGGACATTCGTCATTTTGTCAAAGTACGGTTGGACATTCGTCATTTGTCAAAGTACGGCGGACTTTCGTCATTTTTTCAAAGTACAGCTGGACTTTCGTCATTTCGAAATATTTTCCTGCGCCGAATCTAGAAGAGATATCGATACATGCTTTTCACCAGGCGATAGTAAATCAAAAGTTCTATAACACAGCCAAAAATCTCATTTTTTCAAAATTTTGGACATTCGTCACTATGTCAAAGTATCAGTGAGTTTCACCGTTGCGCTTCTCAAGTGCGCAGGGCGACGGGCATGGTGCAGCGGCGACGCAGGGGGGACGCATCTTCAACTTGCGATAGAAGCTTCCGGATGCCGCAAAACTGATGGGACAAGTTGTGCACCTTGATATATGTCGAAGACAAACTATGTCCGGTCACTTTTGCGGCATCCGGAAGCTTCTATCGCAAGTTGAAGATGCGTCCCCCCTGGCACCATGGCCGTCGCCCTGCGCATTTGAGAAGCGCAACGGTAAACCTGTTCCTGTTTGGGCCCTGGTGGGAAAATTGAAACTTTTTTGAATTTTGGGCATACTTCAAAGTGTCTTCTTTCCAAAAATGCCCGAGCCATCTCAAAAATCGCACATTTAGTCGGAGAAATAGTGAACTACAATTCGCAAGGCAGAGATTCCGGCCAGCTCCGTTGCGAGTCCATTACCCCTTGTCTCATGACATTATAAATCTTGTATTAGCCACAAAACGATATTTGTGATATTTTTAGCAAACATTTTGTAGACAAATGAAAGAGTTGTGAAATTGACAAAATACGCCGTAGAGATTGCCAAAGCCAGCTGGTCATCGAGCTTCAAATGCCCTTGCAGAGCTGTGGCAGCTAGGCTGCCGGCGGGCCAGAAAGTCCTGGTTTAGAGTCTCCGACGAACATTTTTTCTCAGCACCCCGGGTGGAAGGAAGTCTAGTTTTAACTGAGTACCGACTACAGTGAAAAACTGCAGTGCACAAACTGCGGTCTTCAGTGCAGTCAAAGTGTGAAAAACTCTGTAATTATTTACAAGTTTGTGTACTGTTCAGGTTGTACTCGTAATAGTAGTCTTACTGCAGTTTTTTTTTCCAGTTAAGAGTTCAGTTCTTAAATAGTGTCGAAACTTCAGCTTGATCTATAGCTATGTTACACTCACCATTGCTCAGTTTAACAATACTTCAAAATTGTGTTAAAATACTACTTTTGACTCAAGTATATCAACGCTTTATCTGTACTTTTATCTGCATGATTATTGTCTAGACACAATTACGCTTCAATTTACACTTATAGTATACCTTTTCAATGCAGTCAGGAATGAGGAAGCGATTGAAGAACAAAAGTAATCACAGTGCAGGGACTACTAGCGCGCCACCTAGCGGCCGATGCTGTGAACTTCGTTCGGACCTACGCTTGGACCAATCAGGGTTCAGCTTTTGACAGTTCGCTATAACGGCCGCTTGGTGGCGCGCTACTGGTTCCGGGCTTTTAGAGTACTTTTGTTCTTCACTCGGCGACGAGCGAAAGGGGCTATTGAAAACCGACACGACTGGAAGGCACACGGTAAAAACGGTACCTGGTTTTCCCAGGAACCCTATGGTAGAGACATAGGCGATTTCCAGGGAGTTCCTGGGAAAACCAGGAACCGTTTTTACCGTGCAAGGATCAGTACGTCGATCAATATGGTTTTTCTTCTCTGAGATCAAGCATGGCGGGGTGAAGCCAAAATTTAACGTTGAGCATAAAAATTATTGCGATATTCTTAGACGTCGGGGTAGTGCGCAAACTGTGGAAAAATCCTCATCCCACCACACCGTGTGGTCTACTGTCAGCCGCCGAGCTGCAAGGCCAGGTTTCAAGGACCTGCCGCTAGGTGGCGCTTGGATCGCTGTGAGTGTTTGTCAAACGGGATTTCTTATTTAGGCTAGTGAATTAAGTTATTTTTGCAAGTTACACCATCTGCCACTTCAGTAAATATCTGCTTTAGACGTTAGAGAAAAATTTGAATCAGAATATTGCACTGAAGTGGAGAAAAACGGTATTCCGTGTTAGCATTCGATGGCGTCTACGGGCGACAATTAGGTTGGGTCCACGCATGATTCGCTCGGTTCTTCAGACTCTCCTACCGTCCTAGGCAGTCTGCGGTGACATGCAGTAGTGGTGTCTCATGAAGGCGATGTTACTCCATACTATCTCCTTCCAATTTTTAGTCAATACCGACAGCACTTGCCGTGTGGCATGGACTGGTCCACCCGACTTGCCCGCCCGGCCATCAACCGGGTTCTACTCTCATTGCGGAGTTGGCACAGCATTACAAACAACCACGTAAAGGACATGGAAGGAGTAGGGCCAGGGTCGGCAGTGGGGGCTTGCAGAACTAAATTTGAACGTGATTTCCAAATCCACACTTGTGACTTAAATTCAGAAAATACTTCTCGAAAATAATTTTAACTTCAATATAAAACTCGAGTTAAAGCTTCTGTAATACTGGCGAGATGAAGCCATGATTAAAACTGCAGACAAGACTGCTCTGTCCGAAAAAAACTACCAGTTTTCCTGTAAACAGACTGCAGTTCAACTATAGTTAACTATAAACGGAAAAAAAATTTTAGCTGCACAGGTAAAAATTAGCTGTACAGCTTAAAACATTCGCTTTCTGAGAGATAAGTAATTCCCTCGCTGTACAGCTAAATTTATTAGCTGGACCGAATTAGCTGTGCAGCTAATCTGTTTTAGCACCATACATAAATAAAAGTAGCTGCCTGTGTAACTTCCAATGAGTGTCTTGCTAAAATTATTAGCTGCACAGCTAATTCTATTGGCAGCAGAGCTAATGTCTTTAGATGTACTGGTAATGTTTCGTGAAGGTTCTTTGGGATTTCAAAGGGAAAAGATAGATGAGATGTAAACAAAATTTACTAAAACCAAAAACAAAAATGGCACAAGACTTCAGGTACATAAATCTTTGCATAATTCTAATCTACATGAAATACTTCATAACAACAACTTTCTCACCAGTAGACATGGTAAACAAGCAGAGTGGGGATGGGTCCAAGAGCTTCGAATGATGTACAGAAATCCATTTCAATGCACCTGTGGTGTTGTGCTCAAGCTCATACCCTCTGACATCACTGAAATATCCAATAGTCTCAAATGGAGAACAAAGAAATAAAGGACTCTCCTCTAATACTACAATTGTTTTGATTTCAGCAAATTGAAAAAGACCATCTTCAATTCGAATGACCAGAACCTGTCTCTGCTCGTACCTGGTTCCTTTAAAATCCACCCATTTTGTAACATTTTGGTGAGGATTGTCAAAAACAAAATCTGGCAAAGTGAGACTAAATGCTGGGTAGTCTACAAAGTTGACTGGCCCAACCACCATGGAGTTGGAGTGCCTAGGAGTAGACTTTGCCACACTCCTAAAACAAAGGCCAAGCTGCTGCTTAATAGCAACAGTTACAGGGAGATTTTGACGAGAACTGCACACATTAGAAGTCGATTTTAGAAGCTTATGTTTTCCCTCAAACCTAGTGGTAGAGAGTGGTCCAAAGCATCCAAATAATAAAAATAATCTAAAATAATGAATTAAAAAGTGGTGCTTTGGCTTGAGATCCTCTTTCGTTAGTATCATGTACAGCTCATGATGTTCCTTCACTGCAACTTCAATCAGATCACTAGCATATTTTGACAAAGCTTTGGCTTTAACAAGTGAAAGAATGTCATGCAAAAGAAGGTACAGTTTGTAATACCGGTCACCTTCTGGAACCATATCCTTGACCAGAACACCAAAAATGCGAATGAAAGTGTACATTTCTGCCCCTGTCATTTTAAGCTTATCCTTGCTTTGTCTATCAGCATTAATTAATGGTGGCCTGTTATCACTGTCAATGCCAAGATCAATACAATACATACGATTATTTAAAGTAGGCAGAAAATTCTTATTTATAGCATGAAAATGTCTCAGTACAGGTAACATCGTGTAATGCGCTACTCCTTCAATTACATCATGGAACTCATCTACACATATGTCAGTTGGCGCCTCAAAGGACGGAATCCTAGTGAACACACACTTTTCCTTTATACCAGTAACTTCAGAATCATTAAGCTCAACATCAGCTGCGTAATCCTCAGGGGTTCTTAAGAGTGAAGGATCTTCTTTCACCATGCTATGCAATTGTTGCTTAGAACACTTACACATTCTGCAAAGAAAGTTCGCATTGAAACTTTCCATAAAGCCACAGATTTCATGAAGGCCCTTGTTGTCACCCAAGATGACACCAAGAACAAAATATACTTTCACATCACCAAGATCAGGACTATTAACAATAACGCCTTCAGTTTGAAGTTTTTTAAACTCTGAAAGAACAGGCCTGAAAACTCTAAGATTTCCATAGATAGAGCGATTGTGACCATCGAACAAGAGAGCCAGAAATATATTTTCTAGTTTAGAACTCCAATCTGTGGGAAGACATGGTATATGCACGTAAGAACAGCCTAATGGGTCCAGATGAGCACCTAAGGCACTGTTAGGTTCATATTCATCATAATAAAAATTTACAGGTATTACAATGTCACTTTGGTCAAACTTTGCTCTTTTCCTTTGCCAGACAGCACACTGAGTGAAGTAAGAAATCAAATCACTTTCCTGCTCAAGAGATTTCATATATGCTAAAGTATCACTCAAGGCAAATGGGAGTTCAAAGAATAATTTTAAGACAAGTTCTAAAGGAATAAATTGGCCTTGAACTGGTTTCATCTCTAGATTTACAACAGATTTCTTTTTTGTCCTTTTCTCTTGAAAAGAAATGTCATAAGGTACAGGTTTGATGAAATCTCCAGATTTCTCAAAATAAGCAAAGCGCTTGTACTCAGTTGCCAAATGCGCAAAGGGATTCATTACTAATTCAAACATCTCTTGAATCTCAGCTTGCTTATCGGGGAACTCTGACAGAAAAGAAAGGACCCGACTTTGAAAGTGGTCAAAGAAAGGACCAGACAAATAGAGGCTGATATCCTTAACCATTTTGTCAACAAGATTGCGAGGAAAGGCTGGGTTGGCATATAACTTGGCAACCAAAACATCTTGTTGATTTTTGAGCATCGCTTTGTAATCCAATACCTCATCATTGTCTGGTCCATTTTCTGGTCCATTTTCTTGCCTGATTTCCACAGAATCGGAGTCATAACATTCTGAAATGGAGTGACTTGTAGCAGAACTTAGAGTGACCAGGGGGGTTTCAATAGACCTATGACGTGGAAAATTATGATAGTGAACTAGATGGCTTGAGAAAGAGCCCCATAAACTATACTTACGGTTGCAGTTGACCACTTTGCACTCATACTTTGTGCAGGTCTGATGTGAGGTACGAAAGTGCAAATTAAATGTAGCAAGGTCATAAAACTCATTGTCACATTGAGAACAGGGAACTACAACCATAATTAAAGTGCAAATTAAATATAGCAAGGTCATAGGACTCATTCACTGTGGCAAAAACCTACGGAAAGTTCTGTAAGCAGCTTGTGGGAATTCTCCGTAGCCCCCTTATCAATATTCTCCGTAGGCTCTTACAGTATTTTCCGTAGGACCGCACAGTGATCTCCGTAGGACTATACAGTCTTCCAGGTCCTACGGAGGAGACTGTGCGGACTTACAGAGAATACTGTACGGCCCTACGGAGAATTCTGTAAGAGCCTACGGAGAATATTGATAAGAGGGCTACGGAGAATCCTGGCAAAAAAATTAACAGAATTTTCCATACCTTTTTGCCACAGTGTTGTCACATTGAGCACACGGAACTACAACCATAATAGGGCATACCTATAAAATAAAAATAAAAGAACAAAATTACTTAAGTTAAATAATAATACTTCAAGTTAAAGGACAGTGGCCGAAGATTCAAAATCAAATAGGAAAACCCTCAACATCAGATACAACAAACCTAACATTCTACTATTAACGTGTGAATCACAGAAATTGCAAATCTTTTGGACGGACTATGTGGAACATTAACAAATGCTAATCAGTCACACTTAACTACAGGTTTAACACCTAAATCACAGCAAAGATGCCTAATTACAATGACTAAATGTCCAGAAATGTAATTAAATTCACACATTAATTTCACATGTAAAAAATCACCACAATATCAGAAATAAAGCTTAACTTAAAGATAAAGAACACAAAGTAAATGATTCAAAAATAGAGAAGAACCCCACATGACTTTTGACTTAGACAATTGGAGAGATTAAGATTAAGATTGGAAACGAGAGAAGTCATTCGAGATGGAGGAAATTTTCACTGTCAGAGGGTTCTTCTTGTTCGCATTGATGGCGTAGACACTCCTTTCAAGGAAGAACCATTCACGTTCACTTTCTTTCGGGTACTGGCAGTCCAGAGTATGCATGATCTTGAAAGCTATGTCAACAGCTTTAAGTGGGTTGTCCACTTCATAGAGGATAGAATTAACACGGACATAGCTTTTGGTGATGCTGTCCACAGTGTCACCAACCACTATAGCTTGAGGCCCTAGACTAAGGTTGAACGGTTCGTACTTGTCTTTGAGGCGAGTGGCAAGAGTAGTCAAGATAGCTGCAGAGTCCTGAAATATAAAAAGATCTTAAAAACAGAGCTCCCATAAACTTGATGTTGTAGATTCCCTTGCATGTGAGAGGAAAACTAAACTTACAAGAACATGAAGAAGTATGGACTCCGCACTTTTTTCTCTGGATGGTCTCCATTGTTTGTTCTTCCCCTTCTTAGCTGCAGTGACCACATTGAAAAGGTAGGGTAGTGCCTGAATGGTCTTAATTTTCTTTCCCTCTAGTGAAAATAATAAAACATAAAAAAACATTACTTCAAACGAAAAGAATGTAAAACCAAAAATAATCTAAAGAAAAGGTTATCCTTACCTGGAGTGAATGGATCGAGGATTGCTTCTTTCACATTTTTGGGCACTTTGGATTCTATGAAAGCAGCAAGAGTTGGCCATGAAGCATAGAGCTGCATGCTAGCACCTTCCAAGAGCGTCTCAAAGTCTGACTCAAGCTGCAAAAAACGCACAATTGTAAGTCATGCCAAGTCTAAAATGTGTGTCAGAAGAAACATCAAGACTTACCAACAAATATCCAGTCATTTCTGATAGGGCTGGGTACGTTTGCATGTACTCAGTGATAGGAATTTTCTCAGACATAAACTTCCTCAATCTGCCCTTAGATGTAAATTTCCAATACTCGGTAAGCCTTGGGCAGAGAGTTTTATTGTTTGTCAGCCATAGAAGTTTCTCTTCAAACTCATCTGGATCAACACCATCATCTGCAAAAAGAGAAAGAGCAAAACACAAACTAATTTTAAAAGATCAATCACAAGAAACAAACACTTAAAAACAAAACAAAATGAGTAAACAATCTGATTTAATATAGACTTGTACTAACCTATATCAGCCAAATCTTCAATATTAACAGATGTGTTGGCTGTAGAAGATGCTTTCTTTTTCAGAAGTTCGCCTTTCTTCATAACACGTCACTTATTATAATATGCCTTAAGGAGAATACCCCGTCCTGCAGCAGAGTCTCTGCTGAATTCCTCTGGTGCCATCCAAATATTCTGTGCAAAAATTAAGAAAATTTTGAGTACATTTAACACTTAAGAAATTCAAACACTCAGTTACAAAGCATTACCTTTTTTTCATTGGGAAACGATTTAAGAATTCTATCTGTCAGACGCTTCTCCTCATCCACAGGAAACCTGAATTGCACACAAAATAATTTCTATAACTTATTAAATACTGCATGAGAAATTTAAATAATGACAATTTCACGCAATCAAGAGGACTTACTTTTTGTCACAATCATCTTGCAGATATTCGTTCATTACGACACCAGCAAGTAAGACTCGATTGTCATCATTCAGCTCTCCATGTTGATCCCAGTAATTAAGAACAATTTTACCATCCATTACATGACGGCACAAGCGTTTCAATTCCTGCAAAACACAAAACAGGTTAGCAGCTATTACAATTTATGACTGTACTTGACCATATGAACAACTATTAATAATATTATACCGTGTCATCCTCAGGCTTGTGTGGGTGTGGTCTCTTGAGAACACCAGAAGAACCCTGTCGATTGTTCCTGCTGCTTCCACTTCCAGTGTGTTCCGCATCCTAAAATAACACACAAGAGAAAAAGAGCCAGCTCAAAATTGTGCACGGTTGGAAGTACTTATACTCCCAATATCTTGTAAAAAATGATTTCTCAGAGGAGAATAAATTGGAAATATTACTAATTTGGAAGTACACACCCCAACTTGGCTGAATTCATAGCGGTTGATCCAACACGGCCGTTCCCCCTTCCAGAGTAGCTAACAATATTTCGCATCACAGCTAAGTTTTCCCTCCTAAACTGCTTTGCTGTGCCACCTAAACAAAATTACCCGTACTGATAAATATTAGCCGTAAAGGTAAATGTCTTAGTTGTGTAGCTAAGTAAGTCCTGCTAGTAAATATTAGCTAAGTGAGCTAAGTAATTTTTTTCCGTGTAGTTAGACTGCAGTTTCACCAGTTAAATTACAGTTGAACTACAGTCAAACTGCATCGGTCAGTCTGCAGTCTGACTGCTGTTCGTCTGCAAATAGGCTACACTTATTGAATAGAGTAAAACTTAAGTTATTTTATAAACAGAAAGTATGTGGCGTACAGTCTAACAAATAGTTAAGTTGCAATTCCCAGATATAATTAGAACTTCAGTTCCTTCCACCCGGGCTATTTGCTGCACGCTAGGGTTCACGTTACTTACAATTATCACAAGTATAACGGAATGTGTTGTAGATTTACAAAAGTATCTTCCAAATTGATGTTTACGATGAACTTTTGGACTTTACGGCATATTTCATCAACTACGTTTTACAAAGCTCTCGTTTGTAAAAATTTCCAGTGAAATCTTTGTAAATTTACGAAAAAATTTCCAGCAGTGCGGGAATTTCAAACAGTTATCACAGACACTTTGTACCGTCACTGTCCTTCAAAGTATGGTACAGCCTACAGGTCATGTGTCGTAGGCGCAAAACTGGGGTTACCCAAATTAACCACACGTGGAAATGCGGTCAGTACCCCTCAAAATCAGCGGTCAGCAAAGTACCACATAAAATTCATGGTCAATACCACAGCAAATATGTGGTCAGTCCTCCATACCTCATAAAAGGGCGGTCTTGACCACGCAATACGTGAAGTAACGGCTAAATTGATCCAGGAAGCGGAAGAAGGGGATAACTCAATTTGGTCATTTTTCAGGAGAAACAAAAAACTGTTAGCAGGGAAAACTAAAACAAAACAAATGAATGTTGCAGATGTTAATAATTTCAAAAAGCATTAGTAAAATTTTTGGAAAAAAATCAAAAGTGTAAGGTCACTCCGTAGAGGATTTCTGCGACTTATCACTTTCCGCTGAAATGGAAAACAGAGTCAGCTCACCTTATTGGCTGAGCGATAGCGAAGCCTGTTACTCCAGTGGAGTTGAAAAGTTTTTTCTGTCTGTCTGTCTGTCTGTGTGTCTGTCTGTCTGTGTGTCTGTGTGTCCGCACTACTCCTCCTGAACGGCTCGGCCGATCTCGGTGAGATTTTGCACACTCTTTGGGTATGTCCTTGGCTCGGCACACGCGAAATTTCACTACCCTAGCTCAAATGGTTCAGTTTTTATAGCGAAAAAACACCTAAAAAACGGCGAAAAATCGAGTTTTCTGCAGATAGATCACTTCTGTCTTGGAGAAAGGGGGGTCTGGGGGGCGGAGCCCCCCAGCCTCGACAATTTAAAAAGTGACAAGGGTCAAGATCGTGTTATCTGTAGATAAAACAACTCTATTTAGAATGTAGGGGGGTCTGGGGGGCGGAGCCCCCCAGCATTCAACAAGTTAAAAAATAACCAACAATGGCCAAGCCATTGCCTGCCGCAGGCAGGCTAGCGCCGCAGGCCAAGGTAGGTACTTACGCCAGGCGCGGATTGGAGAAACAGGCAGCGAGACATCGCGAAGCCTGTTACGACAAGACGCGGTCTGGCGTAAACCTACCTTGTTTTAAATTTCAATTTGGAAAAAAGAGCTAAGTTCAAAAAATACACCAGAGTAACATACACTTTATGCAGACTATTGTTCCACTTGACTTGTCTCAAAATTCCTCTTGGTTTAGGAAATATTAAGGGGGGGTTAAGTTGAGTTGATTCTTTTTACACTAGATCCATAAAAACACAAGTTGAGTTATATCCTTTTGCCAATTTTGTCAAACGGACTCATGTAGACTAAGGTTGAGTTATCTCCATTTTCCAATGAAATTTAGACTGTAAAAGGGATTAAGCTGAGTTATACCCTTTTTCCATGTGGATTTTCTCCTAAACTGCTTGGAATTCAGTCAAATAATTTGGTGTTATGATGTAAACTATTCTAAGGCACAATAATAAAATAAAAACTCAATTTGGGGATAAGTCAAGTTATTCCCTTCTTCCGCTTCCTGGATCAATTATTGGCTGAGCGATAGCGAAGCCTGTTTGGCTGAGCGATAGCGAAGCCTGTTACTCCAGTGGGGTTGAAAAGTTTTTTCTGTCTGTCTGTGTGTCTGCACTACTCCTCCTGAACGGCTCGGCCGATCTCCGGTGAGATTTGCACACTTTGGGGGATGTCCTGGCTCGGCACACGCGAAATTTCATACCTAGCTCAATGGTTCAGTTTTTTGGCTGAGCAATAGCGAGCCTGTTACTCCAGTGGGGTTGAAAAGTTTTTCCTGTCTGTCTGTCTGTCTGTGTGTCCGCACTACTCCTCCTGAACGGCTCGGCCGATCTCAATCAGATTTCGCACACTTTTTGGGTATGTCCTTGGCTCGGCACACGCGAAATTTCACTATCATAGCTCAACTGGTTCAGTTTTTATAGCCGAAAAACACCTAAAAAATGGCGAAAAATCGAGTTTTCTGCAGGCTGGTCACCTCTGTCTTGAAGGAGGGGGGGTCTGGAGGGGCGGAGCCCCCCAGCCTCGACAAGTTTAACAGTAACAAGGGTCAAGATCGTGTTATCTGTAGATGAAGCAACTCTATCTAGAATGAAGGGGGGTCTGGAGCCCCCAGCATGCAACAAGGTAGAAGTAACCGACGATGGACAAGCCATTGCCTGCCGAAGGCAGGCTAGCGCCGCACACTGCAAACCTAACTGTCTACTAAGTACACACTTACAATTGCATGCTTGCAAGCACACACTTACAAACGCATGCTTGGCCAAGTACACACTTACAAATGCATGCTTGCAAGTACACACTTACAAACGCATGCTTGACGCCGTATAACTCCATGCATCAAGCATGCGTTTGTAAGTGTGTACTTGCAAGCATGCGTTTGTAAGTGTGTACTTGGCCAAGCATGCGTTTGTAAGTGTGTACTTGCAAGCATGCATTTGTAAGTGTGTACTAAGTAGACAGTTAGGTTTGTAGTGCAGGCCAAGGTAGGTACGCCCGGCGCGGATTGGAGGAACAGGCAGCGAGACATCGCGAAGCCTGTTACGACAAGACGCGGTCTGGCGTAAACCTACCTTGTATAGCCAAAAAACACCTAAAAAACGGCGAAAAATCGAGTTTTCCGCAGATAGGTCACCCAGCCCCGACAAGTTAAAAAGTGACAAGGGTCAAGATCGTGTTATCTGTAGATAAAACAACTCTATTTAGAATGTAGGGGGGTCTGGGGGGCGGAGCCCCCAGCATTCGACGAGTTAAAAAACAACCAACAATGGACAAGCCATTGCCTGCCGCAGGCAGGCTAGCGCCGCAGGCCAAGGTAGGTACTTACGCCAGGCGCGGATTAGAGAAACAGGCAGCGAGACATCGCGAAGCCTGTTACGACAAGACGCGGTCTGGCGTAAACCTACCTTGTACTCCAGTGGGGTTGTTGGCTGAGCGATAGCAAAGCCTGTTACTCCATTGGGGTTGAAAAGTTTTTCCTGTCTGTCTGTCTGTGTGTCCGCACTACTCCTCCTGAACGGCTCGGCCGATCTTGGTGAGATTTTGCACACTTTTTAGGCATGTCCTTGGCTCGGCACACGCGAAATTTCACTATCCTACCTCAACTGGTTCAGTTTTTATAGCCAAAAAACACCTAAAAAATGGCGAAAAATCGAGTTTTCTGCAGGCTATCGCCGCACAGTGGGCGGAAAGACCACTTTTGACGGGGAAAAGTCGGGTTCCGCAACTCTTATGTAGATTCCAATAAATGCACTTTCCTAGCTCAACAAGGTAGGTTTACGCCAGACCGCGTCTTGTCGTAACAGGCTTCGCGATGTCTCGCGGCCTGTTCCTCCAATCCGCGCCTGGCGTACCTACCTTGGCCTGCGGTGCTAGCCTGCCTTCGGCAGGCATTGGCTTGTCCATCATCGGTTACTTCTTACGTGTTGCATGCTGGACCCCCCTTAATTCTAGATAGAGTTGCTTCATCTACAGATAACACGATCTTGACCCTTGTCACTTTTTAATTTGTCGGAGCTGGGGGCTTCGCCCCCCAGACCCCCCTTTCTTCAAGACAGAGGTGATCTACCTGCAGAAAACTCGATTTTTCGCCGTTTTTAGGTGTTTTTCGGCTATAAAAACTGAACCAGTTGAGCTAGGATAGTGAAATTCCGCGTGTGCCGAGCCAAGAACATACCTAATAAGCCTGCAAAGTCTCAGCCAGATCGGCCGAGCCGTTCAGGAGGAGTAGTGTACACACACACACACAGACAGACAGACGAAACTTTTTAACCGCACTGGAGTATCGGGCTTCGCTATCGCTCAGCCAATAAAGTGTGCCGAATCTAAATATGCTTTTGTTTTTATCATGCGCCTTTTCGTTTTTCTCATAGAATGCTTGAAAGTCACATATATTTATTCGCAAAGAAATAACGCAACAAAAAGCGCATAAATTCGCTGCGTTTACTGGGTCAGTTTTAAATCTAATTTTACAACCCGGATGTTTTTAGAAAGAGCAATTCAAGAGGATTACAAAACTGTCCTCGGATTGTAATTTCGAGTATATTTGACAAAACTACGGCCGTTTGAAATTTGCATGTCACAAAACACAAAATTCCAAGGTTCCCTTGGGCGGCATAAAAAGCCTCAAGTTGCCCCGCGCCCGCTCTAGGTTCATTTGGGGCCGCAAAGAGTGCTCTTTCGG